TATGGATGTTTCCGTCCTTTCGGGGCTACGTTCCTGAACTTCGTTACTTATGCTTGGGGAGCGGTGCGGCTGGCGGCCCTTTCGAAACTTGGCTGTTTATTCATAGCCACCCACGACTCGATTGAGCTAGGAGAAGATGGGCCGACACATCAGGCGGTGGAGGTTATTCCCCTTTGTAGGGCGTTGCCCAACATGCTCTGCGTCAGACCGGCAGGTGAGCAGCATATGCGCACTCGTGCCATGCTGACGGCCCTGTCTTTCAGCACCTCATGCAAATATGCAATCTAGGAATGTTTTCTTCTTGCAGATGCAAACGAAGTGGCGGCGGCTTACATGCTCTGGCTGAGGCACTCGACGGGCCCCACAGTCATGTGTTTGTGCCGTGGGAATATCCCTCCCATTGTTGGCAGTTCCGTGGAAAAGGCATTGAAGGGAGGCTACATTGTTTCTGATTTCTCGAAATCGGGAGGGCCCCAAGTGAGATTGACATGATTGCTTGCAATTCTGGATAGAGGAAACGCACATTTTCCTTCCTTTTCGTGTTGTTTTCGCCTTCCCCTGTTCTTTAGGCCTTGGGGGGAACAGCAGACACTCTGTTTTAAAGCAGACGGGTCGAAGTGTTCGTGTTTGTTCTCTGCATTCCACATCCTTATTGTCTCTCTCGGAAATGCGCTTTTCTGCGTCGCTCGCCTCCAGGTGATAATTGCTGGCTGCGGCTCGGAGCTGCAGTTCTGCGTGGAGGCGAAGCAGCTTCTGACGAACTGCGATGTACGCGTTGTCTCCATGATGTGTTGGGATACGTTCGAACAGCAGTCGGAGGCTTATAAAGAGGAGGTCCTGATGCAGAAGGAAAGGAAACAGGGGAAAGTTTTGTGTGTTTATGTTGAGGCTGCCGGAACCNGGAGGTCCTGATGCAGAAGGAAAGGAAACAGGGGAAAGTTTTGTGTGTTTATGTTGAGGCTGCCGGAACCCTAGGTGAGCTCGGGGACCGATGGGTCACGAGACTAGTGGATTTAGAGTTATTATCTACATTTGTTCGTTTTCGTTCTTTACCATTCTGTACTGGGATACGATGAACAAGAGACGGCACAAACATAGAATTGCAAAAGATGGGGGAGATTTCCCCAGTGCACTAGCGGGCACCATTTAAATCATTACACACGCGGATCTATAGCTGCTTCATGTATGCTTTTTATATTTCTTCCTTACAAAGGCGCTGCACGGCTTGCTGTTGTTGTGCGTTGCCCACATGATGCACGTACGCAAATACGTATAATTCACGTATAATTCTTCCCTACGATGTGAAATCGTTCCATTTCTCTATGTCAATAAT